AAGATAATACTTAAAGAACAGGGAAAGATGAGGTTACCTAGAAAGAGAATACAGACTGAGAACATCCTCTTAAATTGGGCACACTTAGAGGTCATTGATCATCTTAGCAAGAGCAGTTTTAGTTCAGTGGTATGGTTATGCTCTGATTGGAAGAATGAAATTGGAATAGGGGAAGAGGTAAAGAAAAGGAAAAATTATATTTTCCACTTTAGAGGCTTGGCTGTAAAGAAGAGCGAAGAAATGAGCCAGTCTCTGAAGGAGAAAATGAGGGTTTTCTAAAGATATAATATTACTAAATGATGCTTTTAAGATGTTGGAAATGATCCATTAGAGAGAGCCTGAAGATATGAGAGAGATGTAATAGGAAAGGAACTGAGGTCTTAAAGATGAGTTGGGCTCCAGAGCATCAGTGGAGGGGCTTGCCTTGAAGAGAAGGTTGGGTGGTTCTGCTGTTGCATCTGAAAAGGTTGTAGATGTAGGTGGGTTGGCAGAGGCTGGCATTATTAGTGTTGCCTATGTAATGATCGCTCTACCCAGAATGTTCTTTACCTTCTGTCTTTTTGTTTACCTCTCATTTTTACTTTGTATTTCAGCCTCTTCAAAGAAGCCTTCTCTAACTACCATTTTCCATTTAAATTTTTGTTACATCACTTTGTTTTTATCTTTCATAGCCCTTAATACAATTTATAATTATATAGCTGCTATCTCAAGTATCTATAGAAACTAAGCAAAACCTCTCAATTTTTAAATGTTGCTGGATAATGCTAAAATTATATAGAGATTTTTGAGATATAATTGACATATAAGATTGTATTAGTTTTAGGTTTACAATGATTTGATACAAGTATACATTATGAAATGATTAGCACAGTAAGTTTAGTTAACATCCATCACCACACAGTTACATTTTTTCCTTGTGATTAGAACTTTTAAGATCTACTCTCTTGACAACTTCCAAATATATGATTCAGTGTTGTTGAAACTATAGTTACCATGCTATACATTACATTTCCAGGACTTATTCATCTTATAACTAGAAGTTTGTAACTTTTGTCCACCTTCACCCATTTCGCCCACCTCCCACTTCCCACCCCTGCCTCTGGTAACTACCAGTCTGTTTTCTATATCTGTGAATTCAGTTTGTTTTTGTTTATAAGATTCCACATGTAAGTGATACCATACAATGTCTGTCTTTTTCTGTCTGACTTATTTCACTTAGCATAATGCTCTCAAGGTTCATCCATGTTGTCACAAATGGTTTTTTATGGCTGAATAATATTCCATTATGTATGCATACCATATTTTCTTTATCCATTCATCTATCAGTGGACACTTAGGTTGTTTCCATGTCTTGGATATTGTAAATAATGTTGCAGTAAATGTGAGGGTGCAGATATCTTTTTAAGATAGTGATTTCATCTACCTTGGATAAATACTAGATGTAGAATTTCTGTACCATTTTTAATTTTTTGAGGAAACTCCATACTATAACAGCACTAATTTACATTCCTATCAGCAGTGCACAGCAAAAGAAACCCTTTTCTCCACATCCTCGCCAACACTTGTTATTCCTTGTTTTTTTGATAATAGCCATTCTAACAGGTGTGAAGTGATCTCTCATTGTGGTTTGATTTCCATTTCTCTGATGATTAGTAATGTTAAGCATCTTTTCATGTTACTTTTGGCCATTAGTATGTCTTCTTTGGAAAAATGTCTATTCAGATACCGTTTTATGCTTGTTTCAGCCTGTTGATGGTGATGCTATCAGTTAGAAATGCTTGAGGGCAATCACCTGGGCCCCATGAGCTTCCTGCAGACGTCTCCCCTTTCCAAACCAGTGTTACAACTGGACCGATCCTTGTGGTTCTTATGATTGCAAGATGCCCTTCAGCAATAACTACCAGGAAACTTTGAAGAAAAAAAGTTTATTACTTACAAGCCCTGTATCATACAAGACATGCCAGGGAGCACACAGCAAGCTTATAGGTAGAAAAAGAGAGCATAAGCATGGGCTTGGGGTTCTGCTTTTATTGGGGTAGAGAGTGGGATATAAGGTTTCATAGGCTAACTCTTTTTTTGGCATATTTAAAACATAAGAACAAGAATTTAAAGCGCAGGAAGAGGGAAAAAGAAAGAAAAACAACAGCCAGGCAACCCAAATGGCAAGTTATCTAAATGAACCATGAGTTAGGGGTGGACTGGTGGGGGCACATCCTGGCTTTTTATGTAGTTGTGTGGCTGGCAATGTGTTTATTCGAGACAGCCTTCCTTAATGTGGATAGCTCTTTGAAGAGGATGCCTCGACAATGAAAACTTAAGTCAGTCACTTGTATTACATAAAGAAAAGCCAGCTATAAGGGCTTACATACAGATTGCCCATTTTTAAATTGGATTGTTTGTTTTTCTCTTGAGCTATATGAGTTCTTTATGTATTTTAGATATTCACCCCTTATTAGATAAATGATTTGCAAATATTTTCTCCCATTCTATAGATAGCTTTTTCATTTTGTTGATAATTTCCTTTGCTGTACAGAGCATTTTAGTTCGAAGTAGCTCTACTTTTCGATTTTGCTTTTGTTGCCTTTACAGGAACTTACCCCCTGTTTTCTAGGAGTTCTATGGTTTCAGATCTTACTTTTACATCTTAATCCATTTAGAGTTGATTTTTGTGTATGGTGAAAGATAGTAGTCCAGTTTCATTATTTTGCATGTGGTTGTCCAGTTTTCCCAGCACCACTTAGTGAAGAGACTAGACTGTTCCCCATCGTATATTCTTGGCTCCTTTGTCATAAATTAATTGACCTTATATGCATGGGTTTATTTCTGGGCTCTGTATTCTGTTCCATTGATTTATATGTCTGTTTATGCCAATACCATACTGTTTTGATTATTATAGCCTTGTAATATAGTTTGACATCAGGGAGCATGATGCCTCTAGCTTTCTCAAGATCGCTTTGGTTATTGGAAGTCTTTTGTGGCTCTGTGCAAACTTTAGGATTTTTTGTTCTATTTCTGTGAAAAATGCAGTTGGGATTTGGTAGGGATTACAGTGAATCTGTAGATTGCTTTGGGTAGTATGGACACTTTAACAATATTTATTCCTCCAGTCCATGAGCACAGAATATCTTTTTATTTCTTTATGTCTTCTTCAACTTCTTTATCAGTGTCTTATAGTTTTCAGTGTACAGTACAGATCTTTTACTCCTTCATTGACATTATTCTTAGGTATTTTATTGTTTAATGCAATTGTAAATGGGATTGTTTTCTTAATTTCTCTTCTAATAGTTTGTTATTAGTGTATAGAAACACAACTGATTTTTGTATATTGATTTTATCTTCTGCAGTTTTACTGAATTCATTAGTTCAATTTTTTGTAGGTTTTTAGAGTTTTCTATGTATAATATGTCATCTGCAAATAATGACAGTTTACTTCTTCTGTTTTGCTTTGGATGCCTTTTATTTCTTTTTCTTGCCCCATTGCTCTGGTTATGACTTTCCTACCGTGTTAACTAGAAGTGGCAAGAGTGGGCATCCTTATCTCGTTCCAATAATCTTAGAGGAAAAGGTTCCATTTTTCACCATTGGGTATAATGTTAGCTGTGATATTGTCATATGTGGCCTTTATTATGTTGAGGTACATTCTCTGTACACCTGACTTGTTGAGAGTTTTTATTATGAATAGATGTCCAATTTTATCAAATGCTTTTTCTGCATCTATTGAAACAATCATATAATTTTTATCCTTCATGTTGTTATTGTGGTATATCACATTTATTAATTTGCAAATGTTGAACCATCCTTGCATCCCTGGAGTACATTCCACTTGATAGTGGTGTATGATCCTTTTAAAATATTGTTGAAGTTGGTTTCCTAATATTTTTTTGAGTATTTTTGAATCTGTTTATCCATGATATTGGCTTGTAGTTTTCTTTTCTTATAGTGCCCTTGTCTGGGTATCAGGGTAATGCTGGCCTTGAAAAATGAGTTTGAAACAGTTCCCTCTTCAGTTTTTTGGAAGAGTTTGAGAAGGTTTTATATTAATTCTTCTTCAAATGTTTGGTAGCATTCACTGGTGAAGCCATCTGGTTTTTGTTCATTGGGATGTTTGAGAGTCTTTTTATATTTTAGACCTAAAAGCGGATTCCATGTGTCTTACTGTATTCTAGGGAAATTGCCTTAAGAATTCCCATAGTATTTAATGAAAATGGTAGTTGCCAATAATCTTAAGTGTAAGTGAAGAGGATCCCATAGTTACAGACATGACTTCGTTGCATGTAAATTTCTTAGTTTCTACCTATGACCTGGAACTACTAAAATGTGTATTGACCCTGTATTAATGTTTACAATTAGCATTTATGTTTGTAAGATGTTATTATATCTAATTCCTTTTTTGACATAGATTAACGACTGTCAAAAAGTGAAGGTGGAGGTAGTAAATTTTGTTCGGTATATTTTACCACAATAAAAAAATATTAGAGAAAAAAATGTAAAGGTGGTTCACAGAAAGGAATTTTAAGAGGCTCTAAAACATGTGAAGAGTTTTTTTTTTCCCCCACCCATTTAATTACTGATGATGAAAATGAAGTCTTGGATTTCATAGCAGAAAAGAGGGTTAACAATACCTAATAATACCTCTCAGTTTTATCAATACCATTGAATTAAAAGGGAGAAAAAAAAAAAAACAGATTTGGAGTACATAGCACAATACCCCACATATAGCAGGCAGTGACTACAAACCAGCTGCTATTACAATCCATAGGAATAAAGTAGCTTATTCTGGCAGAGTCCAGCCCAGAATCCAGGTCTCTTAAATGTATACTAGTCTGATCACTCGGTACAAGGGCTAAATCATTTGTGCAGGCAGTGAATTTTCTGAAACTTTATATAAGCTGTTTTTTCCTTTGGTTTTTTGTTCTAAAGAATTAAGTGTGAATACTGTTTCTAAAGGGAATGAACATATTTTGAAAGTCCTTCAAAATCTTTTTATTTCTCCTTTTCAGAGTCCAGTTGTCATTCAGAATTTGAAAATACTACCCATTCTGTGTTCAAGTCAGCCAAGTTTTACTTTCATCATCCAGTGCACCTACCCAATGATCAAGAGTTTTGCCATGAATCCTTAGGGAGGAGTGTTTTCATGAGACATTCTTGGAAAGATTTCTTTCAGCGTCATCCAGATAAACAAAGAGAACACATTTGTCCTCCTCTCCCTTGTCAAAATGAGGAAAAAACGAAGACAGATTATACCAGAGTAGAGAGCCTCAGTATCAATGTAAACTTGGAAAACAAAGAAGTAATACATCCTACTAAAAGTCAGGCTAGAAATTATGCAAAATGTGACAAACAAATTAATGATCAAAAAAAAGATCATAAGGTCGCCCCAGAGCCAACAACTCAGCACACTGCAAATTTGAATGAACTCTGGAACAAGTATCAGGAGCGGCAGAAGCAACAGAAATGTCCAGGATCCAGTGACAGGAAAGAACTGTCCTTGGTGGAACGACTTGATCGTTTGGCTAAACTACTTCAGAATCCCATCACACATTCTCTTCTGCCCTCAGAAAGTACACAAGATGATAGCAGAGGGGAACGAGATGCTAAGGAATCATGTGGTAGACATGAACAGCAGAAAAACAAGCTTCAGAAAAAGAAGCGGTATAAAAGCTTAGAGAAATGCCATAAGAACATCGGAGATCTTAAAAAAAACAAGGTGCTTTCTACTCAGCAAGCTGGAAGGTCCGATCAAATTAAGATTGAACAGGTTAAATTTGATAAATATATTCTGAGGAAACAGCCAGATTTTCGATATATAAACAACACTTCTTCAGATTCTAGACCCTCAGAGGACAGTGAGCTGCTCACAGATACTGCCACCAACATCCTTTCTACCACTACTTCTCCTATGGAATCAGATATATTCACCCAAACAGATAAAGAAGTGACTTTGCAAGAGAGGAGCAGCTCTATTTCCACCATCGACACTGCCCGATTGATCCAGGCTTTTGGCCATGAAAGAGTTTGTCTGTCACCCAGGCAAATTAAATTATACAGCAGTATCACTGACCATCAGAGGAGATACATTGAGAAGCGGAACAAGAACAAGAAGAAAGCATTGACTACAGGTTATCCCCAAATGAGTTCTGAGCACACCAGAAGGAAACACATCCAGGTACATGGCTACAAATTGCACCTGGCAATGTGACTGCCTTTTTCATGGACTTTTTAATTAAGCTTTGCACACAGGTGAAAAAAAAGCCAATTTGCCCTTTCCTCACTATATCATTTTTTACCAACTGGAAAAGAGTGAGAAAGTGTAGTACGGTGCTATTGTGAGTTGTCATTCTTTTCATCAACACTCATTTATGAATTACCCTTTGGATGAAGGGCTTTGTTGCTAAATGTTTCAGAATCTGCAAAGTATATCCCTGGCACAGGGAAACTTCAAGTTTAGAATGACCTGCATTCTGAACAATATTGGCTGGGTTTTTTTCTTTGTTTTTTGTTTATTCATTCCTCCCTGCCTTTCAGGAAATTTTGAGTTGCTTTTAAACACACACACACACACACACACACACACACACACACACACACACACACACACTACATTATGATTTTTTTAAAGTAAATGAAGAATTGGAATGAAAGAAAATTAAATGGAAGCTACAACATGATTTTTTAAATTAAATAAATGAAGAATTGTGAGTGATGGGAAGACAAGTTGAAGCCAGAGGGGAGATAAATATGCCTTGTAGATATGGTTGCTAGATGTTAGCCACAAATTTCACTTTATGTTTTCTGCCAGTTAGTATCACTAGAATTTTATCAATTACGTTAGTCTGTAATATAAAAACGAACTAAATTTTCAAAAGCATTACAGATATTTTTGGTGCTGTTACCTAGGAGAAATTTTACTCACCACAGTGTCACAGACCCTTAGCAGTACCCTTACAGTAGATTCAGTAACAATGCCTATAAGGCTAACACAGCCTCAGCGTAGGGAGTTCAGTAGAGGCAGCTTTCAAGGCGTCAGCAAATGCAGTTCACTACTTTAAACTTAAGAATAAAATTTAGGGTATCTAGGGAAGTGTTCTTCAAAGAATGAGGCTTACAAAATGGTTTATTGGGTATAGGAAGAAAGATATTAGATTTATATTCATTTTTCTCAACCTTTTAAAATTTATACTTTTCTATATGTTTGTAATATATGAATATAGTAGTAATATAATTTATAAATAAATATCTATTTTAATAATTTATGTTCAAAAATATTTTTTATCAGTAGGACCTCATGATCAAATAATTTGGAGATCTCTAGAGGAAAGAAGGCACAAGACATTTGGACAGTTTACCATAAATATTATTTCTCATAATTGAGATTTTGGTATTAAATGGCAGTGATATATAAATAATACAAATGACTTTTAAGTAAAAAAGAATTGGGAGTGACACAGACTAAGGCTATTTGTTCCATAGAAAAAATAGAGTAAAAGGATCCAGGTGGAGGGTTTTTATGTGCGTAGTAAAATACATACACATAACATGAAGTATAATTTTAACCATTTTAAAATGTATAGTTTAGTGGTGCTGAGTACATTCACAGTGTTTTACAACTATCACCACTATCTAGTTTGAGAACTTTTTCAGCACCGTAATGAAACCTCATACCCATTAAGCACTCTCTATTCTCTCTTCCCACGAGCCCCTGACAACCACTTACCTAACCTTCTGTTTCTGTGAACTTGCCTGTTCTGGTTATTTCATATAAATGAAATCTCACAATATGTGACCTTTTGTCAGGCTTCTTTTACTTTAATGTTTTTGGAGTTCATCCATGTCCTAGCATGTATCAATACTTCATGCTTTTTTTTTTCTTTTTTTTTTTTTGGCGAAGCAACCCTTGGTTGACCTCACAGATTGCAAGGACCTTGTCGGCTTACAATCCCTTATTTTTTTATTTTTATTTTTTACGCCTACAGCACCTGGTCTTCCTAGGTGGTCTCCCATCCAAGTGCTAACAAGACCCGACCCTGCTTAGCTTCCAAGATCAGATGGGATCGAGCTTGTTCAGGGTGGCATGGCCGTAGACAGTACTTCATTGCTTTTTATGATGAATAATATTCCATTGCACGTATATACTACATTTAAGTTTCCATTTCATCCATTCATGGACATTTGGATTGTTTCTACCTTTTAACTGTTGTGAATAGAGCTGATATGAACATTTGTTTAAGAGTTTTTATTTGAAAACTCGTAAACAGTTCTTTTAGGTGTATACCTATAAGTGGAAACAGTAAGTTTGTATGGTAATTCTTTTAGCTTATCGAGGAAATGCCAAACTGTTTTCCACAGTGGCTACACCATTTTACATTCTGCCAGGAATATCTGAGGGTTCCAGTGTCTGCACATTCACCAACACTTTTTATTTCCTTTTTTTGGCCATCCTAGTGGGTATAAGTAAGGTGGCATCTCATACTCATTGTCATTTTCATTGTGGTTTTGATTTGCCTTTCCCTTTCCCTAATGACTAATGATATTAATTAAGCATCTTTTCATGTGCTTATTGGTCATTTGTATGTCTTCTTGGGAAAAATGTCTATTCGAGTCTTTGCCTATTTTTTAATCTTGATTTGCTGTTTTTGTTGTCTCTTGTCTACTTTTTAATTGTCTTTTTGTTTTTGAGTTGTAAGAGTTCTTTATATATTCTGGATTGTAGACCATTATCAGCTGTATAATTTGCAGATATTTCCTTCCACTCTCTGGGTCATCTTTTCACTCAATATTACTGTTCTTTGATGCACAACAATATACTTTTGATGAAGTACCAGTGAACCTATTTTTTTTATTTTGTTACTGTGCTTTTGGTGTCATATCTAAGAAACCACTGACAAATCCAAAATCATGAAAATTCATGATTTTTTATATTTTATTTTAAGAATTTTATACCTTTATTTGCATCTTTATACTTTTATTTGCATCTTTAATATATATTGAATTAATTTTTGTATATGGTATGAGGTAAGGGTCAAACATCATTCTTTTCTACATGGCTATCTAGTTGTTCTAGCACCAGTTATCGAAGAGACTGTTCTTTCACCCTTGAGTGGTATTGGCATCATTGTCAAAAATCGATTGACCATAGATATGACCGTTTATTTCTGGGCCCTCAATTCTATGTCTTTGATCTACATTCATATCTGTACACGATTACTGCACTACTTTGATTACTGTAGCTTTGTGTAGTCAGTTTTAACATTGAGAAGGTCATTCCTCCAACTTCGTTCTTTTTCAACACTGTTTTGGCTATTTAGATTCCTCATTTTGCCATGTGAATATTAGGATTAGCTATTCCATTTCTGCTGAAAAGGTTGGGATTTTGATATTAATTGCATTAAATATGTACATCACTTTGAGGTTTATTGCCATCTTAAGACTTACGTCTTCCAATCCATAAATACAGGTTCTCTTTCAATTTATTTGTCTTTCATTTCTTTCAGCAATGTCTTGTCATTTTCAGCATACAAGTGTTGTACCTTCTTGGTTAAAATTTATTTCTAAGTATTTGATTTTCTTTCTTTTTTAAGTTATTTTTAATTATGGTAAAATACACAACAAAATTTATCAACTATTTTTAAGTATGCAGTTTAATAGCATTAAGTACATACTATCACCATCATCCATCTCTAGAGCTCTTTTCATCTTGCAAAACTGAAACTCTATTCTCAAACAAACAGCTCCTTATTTCACCTTATTCTCAGTCCCCGGCAACCACCATTCTATTTTGTGTCTATATGAATTTGACTAGGTACTTCATGTAAGTGGAATTATACAGCACTTGTCCTTTAGTAATAGGCTTATTTCACTTAGTGTCCTCAAGATTCATCTATATTGTAGCATGTAACAGAGTTTTCTTCCTTTTTAATGCTGAATAGTATTCCATTGTATGTATACCACATTTTGCTTATTCAGTTATCCATCATTAGATACTTGGGTTGCTTCTGTCTTTTGAGTAATATGAATGTTGCTGCTATGAACATGGGTATGCAAATATCTGTTTAAGACCCTGCTTTTAACTTTGGGAGTTACATAACCAGAAGTGGAATAGCTGGATCATATGGTAATTCTATTTTTAATTATTTGGAAACTAACATACTGTTTTCCACAGCATTTACACCATTTTACAGTCCCACCAATAGTTCACAAAGGTTCCAATTTCTCCACATCCTTGCCAACACTAGTTTTTTGGGTTTTTTTTAATGGTAGCCATCCAAATGAGTTATGAAATGGTATCTCATTGTGTTCAGCATCTTTATGTGCTTATTATTTGTGTATCATCTTTGGAGAAATACCTATGCAGGAATTTTGCCTGTTTTTTAATTGAATTGTTTGGTGTTTTTGTTGTTAAATTGTAAGAGTTTTTTAATGTTCTGGATATTAACATCAGATACATAGTTTGCAAATATTCCCATTTTGAGGATTGCCTTCTTTGCTGATTGTGTCCTTGGATGCACAGATGTTTTAATTTAGATATTATCCGATTTGTCTTTTTGCTTTTTTTATCTCTGCTTTTTGTGCCTTATCCAGGAAATTATTGCCAAATCCAATGTCATTAAGGTTTTTATCAGTTTTTTTCTTTTTAAGTTAAATGGTTTTAGATCTTATCTTTAGCTCTTTAATTCAATTGAGGTAATTTTTATATACGGTCTAAGGTAAGGCTTTAACTTTATTGCGTGTGACATCTAGTTGTCCTAACACCATTTGTCAAAAAAAGACTGTCTTTTCCCCTGTCGAATGGTCTTGGCACAGTTGGAATGTCCTCAGGGTTCATCCATGTTGTACCGTGTGACAGGATTTTCTTCCTTTTTAAGACTGAATAACATTCCATTGTATATATGTATCACATTTTGTTTATTCATTCATCTGTCAATGGACGTTTGGGTTGCTTTTACCTCTTGACTATTGGATATAGTGCTGCTACGAACGTGGCTGTGCAAATATCTTTACGAGACCTTGCTTTCAGTTCTTTTGGACATATATCCAGAAGTGAAATGTCTAGATCATATAGTAATTCTGTTTTGAATTTTTTGAAGAACTGCCATACTTTTCCACACCGACTGCAGCATTTTACAGTCCACCAACAGTACACAAGGGTTCTAATTTCTCCACATCCTT